ACTTGTTAATTTATCGACGGATTTACCGAACGGATATATCCGTCGGTAAATTCATCTATAAATTACAGACGGATTTATCGACGGATATATCCGTCAGTAACTAATTATTATTTTACCGAGCGGATATATCCGTCGGTAACATCAAATTTCACAAATATTTTATATCCGTTCGGTAATTTCAGTCGGTAATGATTATTTTCCGATCAGTTACAATTCAGTCGATAAATATCCGATCGGTATACTGCGATTTTCTTATAGTGTATCTTATAAAAATTTGACATTAAAATTAAGAGGTGTAATAATTTATTGAGTACTGTCGTCACAAAACAATAAAAACATCCTTATATAATCTTATTTATTAATGTTATATTTATAAAGTGATTGATTTAAAATAAAATTAATTTAAAATTAATATATATACATTTTTAATTTATTATAATTATGACAAAGTACTTAAAAGTTTTTATTTCTTTTAACATACATTACTGATGCATTTCATAACAAATATATAATTTTTCTTTCACTATAAAATATTTAAAATTGAGTAAAATAAAGATACTATTGAATAATCAGTAAATATTATTTTAATATTTAAAATCATGAAATAAAAAAATCTAAAAGGAATGGTTGTAATAGTAAATTTCGCAAAGAGAAAAACACGTGGTCAACACATGAAAACGACGTCGTTTAATATTCCGGCTCCGATTTTGGAACCATAGACGTCACGCACACATGACGGATCAATGTTTCCAAACGTAGTCTAATCACTGTCCCAAACAAAATTATTACAATAATCAAATCATTTGACATATTGGATAATATTACAGTTTCTAACAATAAAAACAATTAATTAAATAGCCCTTACAACTCAAACTGATTTGTAAGGTCAAATTTATATTATGTGATTTTCAACTATTATGGTTCATTCATAGTTTGTATTCAAAATACAAACCTTTAGGCTTTTAAATTTTCAAAATAACATGCAAGTGTTATTGTTTTTGTAAGAAACGCGTACTAAATGATAATTGACTGGCCAAAGATGTGTCTCATTGTTTTAAAGTATAATTAAATGGAAATAAAAGTAATCCGGTATAAATAAAATAAAAAATATATGGATGATGTTTTCACTATATAAATAAATAGATGAATTATATTAAAGAGTCAAGATGGAATTATATAAAGTACTCATATTTCTAATTTATCTTAATTATTCTACTTATTTTTTTTACTATCATCAATCATTAAATTAAAATTATAGGTGTTAGATATTGTTTATATATTATTTGATATTGTTAAGATATTGTTAGATATTGGTAACCATAATATCAAACAATATCTTCTGTTTATTCTATTACTTTCGATTACTTATTTTAGTTGTATTTCTCTACTATAAATAGACCACCCTATGTGTGATTTATACACAAGGAAATTAATTCCAAACTATATTTTCTTTATATTCAACATGGTATCGAGCTTAAGGTTATCTTGAATTTTTTTTCCGCCTTTTGTCCACTTGTTGGAGCCGCCCCACCATTGCTAGAGCCGCCCCACCGCTGCTGGTGAACCGATCCTCCACATCGAAAAGAATTATCTTTGTCATTGAATTTTATTTGGTAGTGTGAAAGTGCATGTTTAGGAAAGTTACTGCAAGGAAAGACTTGGTATTTAAGTGTGTCCATTAGTGACCCACCTCTCTTTCCGGGAACTTACCTAGTGTACTAGTTCACGTTATCATCATCACTGCCGCTGGAGCAGTCCATCGGGTCCGCCATTGTCGGAGAATTCGCCGGAGTTTCATTTTTTTACCGGTGACATATGATTTTGCTTGTCTCGGTCGGGGTTTGTTCTCCCGCTCTTCATGACTTCTTCCACTATTTCCAATTTTGTTAACGATTCTTTTGTGTTGACATCCCATCGTGATGATCGGGCTCGCCCTCGCAAACAGGAAAAATGGCGTCCTAAGTGTGAACATTGTGGCAAGCTAGGTCACAAGATTAACAAGTGTTATACATTACATGGTCGTTCTCCTCAGTCTGCTGTAGTTGTTCAGACCAATCTTTCCCCACCTTTATCTGTAGGGGATCTTCCTTCTTCTGTTGCATCCGACATGTCTGCTATGTTCAACAAATTTCTCGAATGGTATAAGGATCAACAGTCTTCTAGTTCCACTATATCTGTCACACATACAAATACATATTTTGCTGGTCTGACTCCATAACTGTACTAACATGTGTAGAGGGACGGAGATAATAAAGACCATGAGACTCACATCCTGTGCCAATCACCTGTTTCGAACTCCGGTCCTGTAAACACACAGAATTGTTGGTAAAAGTAACAACACAATCAAGAGAACGAGTTAGATGACTGATGGACAATAGGTTAAAAGGAGACCCAGGGACATAAAGAACATTATCAATGGTTAAAGAAGGAAAGAGTTTAACCGTTCCAACACCATGAGATGATACTCTAGAGCCATCAGCCAGTGTAACAGAAGGTAAATGATTAGGAGAGGATAAAGAGGAGAACAAAGATTTGTTACCAGTAATATGATCAGTGGCTCCTGAATCAAAAACCCAAGGACCAGGAGAAAATGATTGGGTCAGACCAGCAAAATATGTATTTGTATGTGTGACAGATATAGTGGAACTAGAAGTCTGTTGATACACCCATGGATCCCAATACTAAACTTCTACCAAATCAGGGGGAGCCTATATCTGATCCTGAGCAGTATAGAAGATTGGTTGGAAAATTGAATTATCTTACAGTTACTCGTCCTGACATTTCCTTTGCGATCGGTGTGGTAAGTCAATTTCTTAATTCACCATGTGAAGATCATTGGAATGCGATCATTCGTATCTTGAAGTATATTAAAGGATCTCCTGGAAAAGGATTGTTATATGCTTCTAATAACCATACAAGAGTTGTTTGCTACTCGGATGTCGATTGGGCAGGATCTCCTTCGGATAGAAGATCTACATCCGGATATTGTGTCTCCATTGGTGGTAACTTGATTTCATGGAAAAGTAAGAAACAAAGTGTTGTGGCAAGATCCGGTGCGAAGCAGAATATAGAGCTATGACCTCGACTTCCTGTGAACTTGTTTGGCTCAAGCAATTGCTTAGAGAGTTACAATTTGGAGATGTCACTCAAATGACACTTGTGTGTGACAATCGAGTCGCTCTTCATATTAGTTCTAATCCTGTCTTTCATGAGAGGACCAAACACATTGAGATTGATCTGTCATTTTATTCGAGAAAAGATTATGTCCGGAGATATCAAGACTGAGTTTGTTAACTCAAGTGATCAGTTAGCGAGATATTTTTACTAAATCTTTACGGGGTCCTAGAATTGATTATATTTGTAACAAGCTTGGCACATACGATTTGTATGCTCCAGCTTGAGGGGAGTGTTAGATATTGTTTATATATTATTTGATATTGTTAAGATATTGTTAGATATTGGTAACCACAATATCAAACAATATCTTCTGTTTATTCTGTTACTTTCGATTACTCTTTTAGTTGTATTTCTCTACTATAAATAGACCACCCTATGTGTGATTTATACACAAGGGAAATTAATTCCAAACTATATTTTCTTTATATTCAACAATAGGAAACATAATATCAGAAAAATATATAAGTCATCAAACAAAGATGGTGGGAATTGTTCTTTATCCACTTTTCAACTAGGTAATAGTAAAAAGAGAAATAATATAATTAAAAATTCACTCCATTTTTTTTGTTATAATAGTCATCTTTTAATATTTTAACTAAAAATAATTAAAATTAAAAAATAATAAAAACAATCTTAGAGTATCTTAACGATGGATTCTTAAGTGGGATACACATGACTACCTCATATTTAAGTATCTTTCTTCAAATTTTTATAAATTCACTGTAACCGTGAGTTCTTATAAACAATTCACTATTCTACTATTATTTTTTACTTTTGACTCAAAATCTTTGATTTGTTGAATTTCTTATAATGAGAATTGTAGGAACAAACTGAAAAAATTTGGAAAAAACAATTCTTAGGAACGTTAATTCTATAAGATACATTACTTAACTTTTTAAAATTATTATTATCACGTTGAATTATTCCAATAATAATTTCTTATAAAAGCAACTCGGACCTTAAGGAACGGGGAACATATCATGTCTCATGTATCTAATTCATATATTATATATGGAGGGATCTATCACCACATATATCTAAGATGTGTTTATATACATAGATGACAAAAGAATTAGGGATAAGTGTTCTGATAACCTTAAAAACATAAAAATATTTCATATTACGCACTGCAAAGTAATGAAACAATGGAGTAGATTGTGTGAATTTCTTATGTGAGATATGTACGATGATTTTGTAGCATATGATAACGTGCAAGGTTGCTGGATGGGGTAATTGACTTAAGTTATAGGGTGGGTCAAATTGTGATAGTGTAAGTCCTGAATGACCAATTAAGATATAGTTTAAAGGAAGAAAAAGTAAAGTCATCACTGGGTTAGTTCCATATAAAGCTTATATGCTAAGAAAATCATAGATGAAGTATGAAATAATATAGTAAAAGGAAAATGGCGAGGGAGAAAGGAAAAGAGTTGTTGGGTTGATGATTACGCAAGAAAGAAGAAGTGGTTTGGTTCCTTGTATGGGCGTCTAAAGAAGCATCGAGGAGGAATAGGAGGCTTTGAACGCCAACAACTATGCACCCGCGTCAACGAACGCGCCCACCCATCAAAATCATTGTCCACATGCAACTTTTGATTTTTGTTTATAGTTCCCCCCATTTTTGACTCGTCTCACACTTCACGCGTTATTTTGTATTTTTTTCATCTCTCTTTCTCTCTCTCATAAACACACTCTCCCAGTATATATTTCTCAAACACTTGGTTTCCTTTTTCAACACAACTTCATCAACCCCTACCAGAGCGTTAAGCCTTTTCGTTTTGTTAGGTTTGATCACAAGCAGGATTAAGTAAAGAGGTTTAAGGTGGATGGAGATTGAAGAGCAGCAAATAGAGTCATGGTCGGAGACGGGGAGCACGGGGAGCAGGAGCACGCGAGTGGGCTTCAGCGGGCCCATGAGCGGCCCATTGGTGTCCAACAAGAAGAGCAGCAAGAAGAGCACCAGGTTCAAGGACGACGAGGAGTTGGTGGAGATAACGCTGGACGTGCGGGATGACACCGTTTCGGTCCAGAACATCAGGGGCGGAGACCCCGAGACCGCGCTCCTCGCCACCCGCCTCGAGAAGCGGCCCTCCTCCCTGTCGGTGCGCCTCCGGCAGGTCTCGCAGGAGCTCAAGCGCATGACCTCCTCCAAGAAGTTCGACAGGGTCGATAGGTCCAAGTCTGGTGCCGCTCGCGCTCTCCGAGGTTTCAAGTTCATGACCAAAAACGTTGGAACCGACGGTTGGTCGCATGTGGAAAAGCGCTTTCATGATTTGGCCGTTGAGGGCAAACTGCCCAAAACGCGCTTCGGTCAGTGCATTGGTACGTATTCTTTCTCATTCCTTCATAAAAAAACAATCAAACGTGCTCAGTGTGTGAAAAAGTTGCGTTTGAACCTTCGTTGAAAATTTTTATGTTCTTGAGTTTTACCAGTGTTTAAGAAAACCTTTCCTAAAACTGTTGTTGTCCGTGAATTTGGACAAAAATGATGTCTAGGTATGCAGGAGTCGAAGGAGTTTGCTGGGGAATTGTATGAAGCATTATCTCGTCGTCGAGGCATAACATCAGCTTCCATAACAAAAGATGAGTTGCGTGAATTTTGGGATCAAATTACAGACCAGAGCTTTGATTCAAGGCTCCAGACCTTCTTTGATATGTAAGCTTTCATTTTCTTGTATATTTTTTATTATAAATCCTTATATGCATGAAATGATTTTCCACTATCAAACGTAGAAAAATACAACGCCGCAGTTCATGCATTTGCATGTGAATCATAATGCAATTAATTGCTAACTCTATGATAATTTCAAAGTAATGACACCGGAAGCAACATGAATGGGACTTTCTTTTTAAGTAATTGAAGTGACGTTTTTCGTAATTAATGTTCCTGTGTAGTTTAAGTAAAATAAATATTTTAATTAATGAAAGAAGTTTTAGGTGAATCATGAATATTATAACTAAATTCTACGTGAATTTCAAATTGCTGTATCAGGCTAAAATAATGAGTGGTTCTAGATGGTGATTTTTAAACACTCTGGGAAAATAAATATTTGTTTATTTCTTTACGAATGTCTTTATTCGTTGTTCAAACCTAAACGTATTTTGTTATAGGATTAGGTGTGGAATAATCTGAGGGTAGAGTAGAAACTAAGAAGAAATCAGCATATGAAATAACAATTGAATATACAAAAGATGGAGAAAAAAATGAATAATAATTGAGAAAAAAAAAATCTAAGAGAAGGAAAAAAAGCTTTGCCTCCATAAAGAAATAGAACAAGTCAACGGATGGTTGGGTTGACTATTGAAAAATCTGTGTGAAATCAAGCAGCAGCTATTTGAGAAACATTATGTGTACGTATATAAATATATCCAAGTCAAAGAAATTAAAACGAAACAATTATTTGTTCAATGTCAACATTATTGAATTTTGATTGGATCTTCACCCATTTCCTGTGAATTTTCCCTAAGTAATTTTAATTCATGTCAGGGTGGACAAAAATGCCGACGGAAGAATCACCCAAGAAGAAGTTCAAGAGGTGAGTGTTTACTGTGATAAAAATAATTAATCATAATTTATTATCTAATTTTGTCTCTAAATGAGGAAGTAAAACATTTTTATTTTACAGTAACAGTAACTATAGGTGATTTTACAAGCAACTTGTGGAAATGTGAACATTATTGTGTGACTGATTTTACAGATTATAGCCTTAAGTGCTTCCGCTAATAAGCTGTCAAAAATACAAGATCGTGCAGAGGAATATGCAGCTCTTATCATGGAGGAGTTGGATCCAGACAACTTTGGATACATTGAGGTTTGTATTCTATCTAGTTATTTTTTATTATATTGTCACTCCCATTTTTGTAAAAAGAAAGGAGTAAATTAAAAATTGAATATCATTTTAAAAAGTTAAGGGTATTTGAAACATCGAACTTTTACCAAATGTTTTTTTCCCAACTTCATTGAAACATGCCATGGTTATTTTGGCTTGCAGCTACACAACTTGGAAATGCTTCTTTTGCAAGCCCCGGCACAATCAACTCACATAACCACGGATAGTCGTGTGCTGAGTCAAATGCTGAGCCAGAAACTGGTCCCAACCAAAGAGTACAACCCCATAAAGCGTGGCTTCAGGGCACTGGCTTACTTCGTGGAGGACAATTGGAAAAGGATTTGGGTTATTGCTCTCTGGCTTTCAATTTGTGCTGCGCTTTTCACTTGGAAGTTCATCCAATACAAGCACCGTGCCGTGTTCCACATCATGGGATATTGTGTCACATCAGCCAAAGGTGCTGCTGAGACCCTCAAGTTCAACATGGCCTTAATCCTCTTACCCGTTTGCAGAAACACCATCACTTGGCTCAGAAGTAAGACCAAGTTAGGCATGGCTGTTCCCTTTGATGACAACATCAACTTTCACAAGGTAATGACATGATCAATCTTTACGTAAGGCATAGCTGAGTTATATTAACCTTGTTTCCTAACTGATATGTCTCACATGAAGATTGTTCGGAAACCATGTTCTCATACCATATAATAATGGTTTCGATTTCATACAGGTGATAGCTTTTGGCATTGCAATTGGGGTTGGGATACATGCAATTTGTCATTTAGCATGTGACTTCCCAAGGATGTTACATGCAACAGATGAGGAATATGAGCCCATGAAGCCATTTTTTGGAGAAGACAGGCCAAATGATTATTGGTGGTTCGTGAAAGGGACAGAGGGTTGGACCGGGATAACCATTGTGGTGCTTATGGCTATAGCCTACACTTTGGCTCAACCTTGGTTCCGACGGAACAGGCTGAACCTCCCCAAGCCTCTCAAAAAGCTCACTGGCTTCAACGCCTTTTGGTACTCTCACCATCTTTTTGTCATCGTCTATGCCCTTTTCATCGTTCACGGATACTACTTGTACCTCTCCAAGGAATGGTACAAGAAAACGGTAAGAACATGCATGCAAGCACTATTATTACTATAGTCTATTCATACCCATTTCCCTTTAATCTTGCTTCACGTGAAATCTTGTTCTTAATTTGGTCACACAATTTATTTCCACAGACTTGGATGTATCTTGCAATTCCTATGATACTATACGCATGCGAGCGATTGCTTCGTGCTTTTAGGTCTGGCTACAAAAGTGTCAAGATTTTGAAGGTACAACATCAATACAGAACAGAAGAATTCACCTTCCCATTTTAAGTTTTGATTAAATTCAATTTTTGCATTTTTGCTATTGACGGTACACTAAAAATTTTAACTTTTTTTCTTTTTCTTAAACTTCAGGTTGCAGTGTACCCAGGAAATGTTTTGGCCTTACACGTGTCTAAACCACAAGGATTTAAGTACTCTAGTGGACAGTATATTTTTGTTAACTGCTCAGATGTCTCTCCATTTCAATGGTAATGAAAATTTCTTCTTTTTTTATTATTATTTTATTAACATTACTATTAAAATTCGGAGAGAGGTGTTAACAGAGTTGACAATTTTGCTGTGTAGGCATCCTTTCTCTATTACATCAGCACCAGGAGATGACTATGTAAGCGTTCACATTCGCACTTTGGGTGATTGGACATCACAACTTAAGGCTGTTTTCGCGAAGGTGAATTTTGCACAAGACACAACCACTTTTCCTCAAATATGTTGCATAATGTCACTTACATCGTTATTCCATTCATGTGATTGATGCAGGCATGTCAACCAGCAAGTGGTGATCAGAGTGGTCTTCTGCGAGCTGATATGTTACAAGGCAACAACATACCAAGGTAAGTTATGAACTAGAGGCAATGACTTTTACTACTAAAAACACCAAAACTGATTCTTAATTTACTGATTCTAGTGAAATTGTGACTTTTTTTTTAGGATGCCAAAGCTTTTGATTGATGGTCCTTACGGAGCTCCAGCACAAGACTACAAAAACTACGAAGTAATCCTTCTAGTCGGTCTAGGAATTGGAGCCACCCCTTTGATTAGTATCCTCAAAGACGTACTTAACAACATGAAACAACAGAAAGATTTAGAAGAAGGGATGGTAGAAAGTGGAGTTAAGAACAACAAGAGGAAATCTTTTGCCACCAACAGGGCTTATTTCTACTGGGTTACTCGTGAGCAAGGTTCCTTTGAATGGTTCAAGGGTGTGATGGATGATGTGGCAGAGTATGACAAGGATGGAATAATTGAGCTTCACAACTATTGCACAAGTGTGTATGAGGAAGGAGATGCTCGATCTGCTTTGATCACCATGCTTCAATCCCTCCACCATGCCAAAAGTGGTGTGGATATTGTTTCAGGGACAAGGGTCAAGACACATTTTGCTAGACCAAATTGGCGCAGTGTTTTTAAACATACTGCTCTCAAACACCCTGGAAAAAGAGTTGGTAAGTACCAATGTTGCTCAAGTTCAATTTTTCCAATTCAATATATATGATCTTAAGCTCATTTTACCACTCAATTATTTTCAGGTGTTTTCTACTGTGGGGCGCACACATTGGTTGGAGAACTTAAAAGGCTTTCTCTCGACTTTTCCAGAAAAACCAACACTAAGTTCGATTTTCATAAAGAGAACTTCTAAATTCTTTTATCATAGTTCTTTATTTTTTTAACTGTAATAACGTATGTAGTTAAGGGAAATGTGTTAGTTAGATATATAGTTTGCTGGGTTACTAGTTAGACAAGCAGGTAGCTCTGCATTAGATTGGAGTTCATACATACATGTATAAAAGAAATTGTATCATTTTTATGTAAAATGAAACGATTGAGTTGTTAACAATTAAGCATACCAACAAAGAAATCATTAAATGATTATAGCAACATCTAACAAATTATTTTGTAATTCAAGCTAACAAAATATTTCACCGTAACCCTTCATTCTCTAGCCCAATTGTAATGAGGCTATAGATTGATAAATATACGAGGATATAACCCTCAATCAAGTTCAATGGTGATGAGACTATAGATTGATATATCTATCTCTAAGGATACGTAAGCTTCCTGTCTCAAGTGAAATGATGATGAGACTATTGTTGGATATTAAGTCTTTTTTAGCTTCAAGTCAAATCACGACGAAACTATGGATCGGTATATCTTTGAGGGTAAACATTCTAGATAAATTAAGGATAAGATGAACTATCTTTATGCTTAGCTTTTTCAAGGGCTTGGATGCAAAAGAAGTAAAGGAAGAATAAATAGAAAGAGCCTTCAAAAGAAAAATCACTGAAAAGAAGGCTTAAGAAGCTTGAAGAAAAATCATCCTTCAAAGGGTATCTCGGGCTGATTATGAAATTGACATAAGAAGAGAAAAGTTGAAGAGGCATCAAATGCTATATTGATTTTGAATGGCATTGAATTTAGAATAAATTAATTTCTAACAGTTCAGTGCTGTCATCATGTTATCATATTTTATTTTATTAAATTAAAAATTTAATATTTATATTAATGCTAATTTCATTATTTTTTAAAATAATATTTAGGTGTAATTTTTTCTGAACAGAGCTTACAATGATAATTTGTATATAATAACATTGTCTAGCCAATAAAAATCACAATAAAATATGTTTTGGTAAGAAATTTCACCAAAAGTGAAAGATATAAAATTACAGATGCTAGAATAAATTTCTCTTTACTCCCGTAAGATCTAAGAATTTCTTATTAGCTCCTCTGTTCTCTGATCTAAGAATCTTCCTTAATTTATTTTTTATGTCAAAGTCTTAGAGCATCGTTTCCTTGCTTTTTAAGCATTCCCACCAGTTTCAAAGCACCCTTCTGCTACACAACTCAAGCTTCTTCGTTAGTTTCTGTCTTTACAATGGCTGCTGCAACAGAAGTAAGAGTCGAAACTAGAGAACCAGAAGAACTTTTAGAACCTCTCATGTGCAAGGTAAAGCATTCATTCTTCTCCCTTTTGTCTCGCTATTTCTCACTCCAGCAGAAATTAGATAATTTTCTTAATGCTTCTGTTTATCAGAGCTGTGTGCTGAAAGTCTCCATTCATTGCCAAGGCTGCACAAGGAAAGTAAAGAAAATTCTGCAAAGCATAGACGGTAACCATGTTTAAAACCCAACATCTTTCATTTTGTATTCACTCTTCCATAAATTTCCTTCAATCATAGCACTCTATCAAAATCATTTGATGAAACGGTCTTTGTTTTTTCTGAAATTCCAAGGTTGTCGTAACATTATCCTTAATTACTGCGAATTCCTCGTTGGGCCAGGTGTTTATTGCACGTCAATTGATTTGAAGCAACAAAAGGTGGTGGTAAAGGGGAACGTGGACAGCGAGACTCTGATTAAGAAATTAACGGAGACAGGGAAACGCGCAGAACTGTGGCCCGACCAACCCGAAGTGAAGAAGAAAAAAAAGAAAAAGAAAAAAAAGAAGAAGAAGGGAAACACAGAGAACAAAGAGAAACCAAGCGAACAAGAAAGCAGCGAAGAAAGCAACCAAAGCGGTGACGAAAACAACAACATCAACAACAGCGAAAAGGAAGCTATTAAGGTGGTGGTTCAAGACACGGGAAAAAACATGGAAGGTGGCAACATGATCAGAAACAGCGAAGGGTTTTTCAACGTTAACAGAATGGGTGAAGCAACCGCAACCGGCTTAGCCGGTGTGCAGTTCCAAGACCCGAGGATGGAGTTGAGGCAAGGCATGACTTTGGCACCCGGTTACCAGTCATCGATGGGAGAGAGAAGGGTTACCATCAACGTCCCGGGAATGAACGAAAACGGAGGAGCGAACGAGGGTGGGTGCGGAGGGAAAAAGTCAAAAAGTAAGGGGCAAAAAGGGAATGTTGTCATCAACGGTAACGAGGGTGTTACTGTGGTTGAACAACACCCTGGTGGAGAATGGAACCCAAACGCGAACCAGATGCCTTGTGGTCATGGACATGGGCCGGGCCCAGGGATGGTTACTATTTCGGGCCCACCCAATGAGAGTTCCCCACGTCATCAGTTCCCACCGCACTATCATGCACCCGCATCTCCGGTGTACGGTGGAACCCACCCATCAACAGCGTATCCCACCGTGACCCGCTACGGCACCGCGTATTATACGTCCCCACAACCGTATTCATATTCTCCATTGTATCGGTGCGTTGGGTGCGAGTCAGACTCAGAAACTTACACCTCACCTTCACCACCCTCTTATTCCTTCGAATTATTCAGCGATGAAAATCCCAATGCATGTTTTGTCATGTGAGGGATGATCATGTCACAACCACCGTAACTAACCTTTTTTTGCCGTTAGTTTTTCAGGTATTAGCTTAATGTTAATATCGGTGTGCTAGTTTCAATTCTGATTGAAATAATTTTATTTTGTTTTTTCTCTCTCAGATTCTTAAATCTCGTTTAGAGGGCCATTAATTATGATTTTATATTGGTATTGAATTAACTTTACTTTGCCATAGTGGCTAGATGCTTATGGGTTTTTTTTTCACCAAAACACACTAGGGGGTGTGTTTGTGGATGAAACTTTTTGGGGAACTTTTGAAATCGGAATAAGATTCAGCTATTAGAAAATGGGAATGGGATTGAAGTTTTTCAAACCACTAATAATAATGCCTTATTTTGTATCTATGAAAAACTCTTTTTGGCTTCGATTCCCCTTTCAACTTGATTATACTTTTTGGAGATTCCCTTTATTATGTTCTAGCCAAACAGAATTTGCTCGAATTTATTCTTGTTCTTTCGTCATGCTCTTTATGTTTCTTAAAGATTGTACACTTTATTTTCGATCATACTTCACACTACAAAATTTACTTTAATCACCTAAACCTTGATTCTTTCAAAAGGTAATTAAATGACCTCTAATTATATAATTAGCAAAATCACATTACCGTTTGATTAAAAATACATGACATAAAAACTACCTTTTTAATGTAAAATGTAATCACATAAAAATAAATATTCATCCCGCACATTGCATGTCTTAAATTATGTGCAAATCTTAATTGTTGCAGCCGGTAAAATGGCATAAGGGAGGTATATATAAGTCAAATTCTGTTTGTGCGTTAGGGCAAAATTAGAGCACTAAAACAGCAGAACATTAATTAATCTTCATGTTTCGATGATTAAAAATGTATTGTTTCAAACTAAGTTTTAATTCAATAATGTCACGTTGTATCCAGTGTTGGAGATAATTTTTACGTTGCAAAAAACTATTTTTAAGTTGATTAAGATTTAACAACCACCAAACACAACATAATGGTAGCTTTTACGAATCACTCTCCACTTTCTATCCATTCCTATTGGTCCAATCAATATTCTGAGGAACCTGGTTCTTTTTCTGTTTCATTTTTCCTTTCTTGAGTATTCCTTCTGTGTTCTGTACAATTCCAAGACCACCTTTATCTTCAAGCCTCGTAGTTGAATTCACTCATTCAAACCTTCCACAAAACATAAAATAGTTGCATTATTTCTCGAAGAAGATCTAATAATACGTAAACAGTGTTGGATATTTCCTATAAAATAACAAAATAAAATTATTTATAAATAGAACATGAATTAATTATATTTTATATAATCTTCAATACAAAAATCTTAAAATATTATATTATAAATTACTTGACTTTATCATTTCTATTAAATATAAAAATTTAACTCACGTTGTTCTCAACAAATAACATGTTTCGCTTTCATGTATTTAATTAATATTTTTAATATTTTTTTTAATTATGTTCAGACTAACAAATCTTGACGCACATCAAAGAATTACACGAGAGACAAATGCATATTACATGTTAATTTTGAGATTATAAACATTATAATGATTAAATCATTTTTAATTTTATTAAATTAAATTTTGTATGGTCGAAACATTACTTTTTTTAAAATAAATAACAACAATTAATAAAATAACCGTTTTAACAAATTAAACTACGTTTTATTTTCACACTAAATGAAAATATAGAAGAGTGTAGAAATATTTTTTTAACGATCCACGTTAAACCAAATAAAACATGTTTAGATTATCTAATAAAAGATTACAATTTGACAAATTTATTGAAAAACAATTAAAAAATTGTCAGAAAATTGTTTGAGTTTTACAATAAATTTAAATTAGATTATATATAAATTGAAGAAAAAATATATATAAGGAAAAGTGTTACAAATTAATTTTTACATATAAGTTAATTTTGATTTGTGAAGATTTTTATTTATATTTTTTCCCTACAAATATTTATGGAATGTCCAAACAAAACCTAACTGTGAATTATTAATCACTGAGTTACTAATTAAATTTTACAGTAGAAGACAGACTAATTAATATTTTAATTTCTTTAATGAGCATCAGTGAAAAAAAGAAAAACAAAAAAAGACACACGATGATAGTGTTGTGGACAGTGGCCTTCTTCCCGCCAAGGCGAGAACCCTAAGTTAGCGCGTTTTGCATTGTACTCTGTCAAACGAACTATGGAATTCACGTTAAGCGATAACGCTCTCAAAACCTTTGCGCGATGCATCACTTGTCTCGCACGCATCGGAAACGAGCTCGCCATTCAAGCCTCTTCCTCTCAGGTAACAACAACTTTTGCAACTCCAACTCTCGCTTTCTTCGTTTCCGTTTTTCACCATCTCTCAATCCAAACGGAGTTTCATTTAATGATGATTTCGAACCAGATTAAGAGACACTGAAATCAGGCTTTGATTATGTGTCACTTTACTCATTGGGAAAACTAATTCTGTTTTCTCACATGATTTGCTGGTTGGAGTTGCTCGTTATACTTTAGTTAGGGTTATTGGGCACAATTAGTGCTTTAAAGTGGACTAGAAAATGTTGATTATTGATCGTTTAGAAGTGTAATGTACATATGCACTTCTAATTTATGTTTATTGATTCGTTATTGCAGCTTCTTTTCCATACTATAAATTCGTCGCGTTCTGCTTATGAATGCATCGCTTTCAAGCCTGGGTTTTTTGACGTGTATACAGTTTCTGATAATTCCGTGCAATGTAGTGTACTTCTGAAGGTGCGAAGTGGTCTTTAACCACTTTAATTTAAATGAAGTTTGCAAATAATGAATTCTCCCTTACATACTTTGATTAGGCTGTTTGTGCTGTTCTCAGGACACCTATTACTAATATCGACCATTTGACTGTGAGGCTGCCTGATCCAGATGCTCCCAAAGTGCAGTGGATTTTGGATTGCTATAATGGTAAATGCTTATTTAGTGTGTACACCATCTGTGGTGGTTGTTCAACAAGGGAATGTTCTATTACACAAAATTGCTAGTGGATTTAATTTGGGTTACCATGGGAGACCAATCAAGTAGTTGTCTTTTGTAACAAGTTTGACGATGTAGTTGGTTTCTGAATTAAAACTAGCCACATTTTGTAATTGGCAATTGTTATGGCACTAAACATGCTTTTAAATCTGATGACATGCCCCTCTTTTTTCAAGTGGATTACGTGTAGCATTGAATGTTAGCTAAGCCTTGTCTGCATGTCAACTGCATCCTTTTTCTTGGCGCAGCTAAGGGATTTGTAACTGCCCACGACTATATGTTCTAAAATTCTGTTTCATATTAATGTTCTAAAAGTCTATAGTAGCAATTTTGTCTTAAATGAGCTTAAAGACATTGTTGTAACTTCAATCCTTCTTTATACTTAAACATCCATCAATGTATGGATGTACTGTATAGATGGTGTTAGGCATCTGATAATTTATGCTGCTATTTTCTTACCATTTAACAATGTGTGTGTGCCAACACACATTTAACCCTATTGTGGATTAAAAAGGATACGCTTTCATTAACTGCAGGTATGAGAAAAACCTATTGGATTACTTGCAATGTAGAACCTGACATACAACACTTGTCCCTCGATAGGCAAAAATTTCCCAGCAACTTTGTTGTGAGGCCTCGAGATCTGAACAGGTTACTTGCTAATTTTCAGTCATCTCTTCAAGAGATCACTATCATTGCAACAGAACCTTCTTCTCTACCTCCTGATGCTGCAAATGAAATTGGTGGAAAGGCGGTTGAACTTCGAAGTTATATGGACCCAACCAAAGGTAAAGATGATTCTTTTGTTGGTAGCTTTATTACAGACTGTATATTTATGTGTGCGGATTTCACGCCAGACAATGATACATTGCTGCACACCCAACTGTGGATAGATCCTAAAGAAGAATTTTTGCAGTATGTTCATACTGGAGATCCAATGGATGTGACTTTCAGTGTAAAAGAACTGAAGGTATAGTAAGCTTAGCTTTTTGTTTTTGAATTTTTGGTTGACAGAGGTAAGTTTAGCAACTGTTGTTAGAGATTGCAGTCACCTGATATCAGGTTTTTTAAATTTTATTATGTTATCTTTCAGAATTTATGTTATTCTTTCTTTTTTCATTTATTCTACGATAAGTCAGCGTATTAAAATACACTTGGTATTTTTCTCATGAAACTGCAGGCATTTCTTTCATTTTGTGAGGGCTGTGAAGTTGATATCCATTTACATTTTGAGAAAGCTGGCGAGTAAGATGTATTTAGTATCTGTTAAATATAGAGAAAATAGGGTTTAGAATTAATCTCCCTTGTGTATAAATCACACATAGGGTAGTCTATTTATAATAGAGAGATACAACTAAAAGAGTAACTGAAAGTAACAGAATAAATAGAAGATATTGTTTGATATTGTGGTTAACAATATCTAACAATATCTTAACAATATCAAATAATATCTAAACAATATCTAACACTCCCCCTCAAGCTGGAGCATACAAATCGTATGTGTCAAGCTTGTTACAAATATAATCAATTCTAGGTCCCCGTAAAGATTTAGTAAAAATATTTGCTAACTGATCACTTGAGTTAACAAACTCAGTCTTGATGTCTCCAGACATAATCTTTTCTCGAATGAAATGACAGTCAATCTCAATATGTTTGGTCCTCTCATGAAAAATAGAATTAGAACTAATATGAAGAGCAGCCTGATTGTCACACACAAGTGACATTTGAGTGACATCTCCAAATTGTAACTCTCTAAGCAATTGCTTGAGCCAAACAAGTTCACAGGCAGCTGAGGTCATAGCTCTATATTCTGCTTCTGCACTAGATCTTGCCACAACCCTCTATTTCTTACTTTTCCATGAGACTAAGTTACCACCAATGGAGACACAATATCCAGATGTAGATCTTCTATCCGAAGGAGATCCTGCCCAATCAGCATTTGAGTAGCAAACAACTCTTGTATGGTTATTAGAACTATATAACAATCCTTTTCCAGGAGATCCTTTGATATACTTCAAGATACGAATGACTGCATTCCAATGATCTTCACATGGTGAATTAAGAAATTGACTTACCACACTGACTGCAAAGGAAATGTCAGGACGAGTAACTGTAAGATAATTCAATTTTTCAACCAATCTTCTGTACTGCTCAGGATCAGATATAGACTCCCCCTGATTTGGTAGAAGTTTAGTATTGGGATCCATGGGTGTATCAACAGACTTTGAACTCATCAACCCAGTTTCCTCCAAAATATCTATGACATACTTCTTCTGAGATATAACAATATCATCATTGGACTGTGCCACCTCAATACCCAAGAAATATCTAAGTTTGCCAAGATCTTTGGTCTGAAAATGGTGACAGAGATGTTGTTTCAACTGAGAGATGACATGGCTGTCACTACCTGTAATGTTAGAAAAGTAGTTTTAGATCAAGAGGGGGAGTGAATTGATCTTTGAAAGTTTTTCGCAAATAACAGATTATCTAATTCAAAAATTAAGATTACAGATCTGTTCTTGAATCACAAAGCAATCAAACAAAATTAAACGCAGCAGCAGAATTAAAGGAGAGAAAGGTTAAGAAAGATATCACCGGTGTTTTATACTGGTTCACCTAATACCAGGGCTACGTCCAGTCTCCAGCCAAATTCCAGCTGGGTTCCACTAGATCAAATGTTTTACAGATTTACAATCTTACACTTAATTTACCACAAGAACCAAATTTCAGTTCCTGCACTCAACTTTTCACCAAGAACCAAATTTCAGTTCTTGATAACCTCTACAACCAAATTCCAGCTGCAGAGAAACTAGTGCCCAAATTCCAGGCACCAAACAATACAAAAGAATGTAAAGAAATGAAAAAGAAGAAACTAGAATGCTCAAACCAGTTTATGCAATTCTGCTGTAAGTGTTTCTTCTTCAAAAGAAAGCAAGTTGCCTCAAGAAAGATTTTCAAAGAACTTCAAAAATTGACGCGAATCTTTCTTGAAAAGAGTGCTAAAGTTTGTTTGATTGATTGCTCAAGGATGTATAAAAACTGATGTGTAAAAAGTTCCAAACAACTCTATTTTTAAAGAAGATTTTCAAAACTGCTGCATTTATTAATCTGTTAAAAGTTTGTTTTAATCTGTTAAAAGTGCGGTTTTAATCCGTTAAAACTTCTTTTAATCCATTAATACGTTCTTGATTCTTTAACAGATTTGTTTTAACTGATACGACGACGTTTATATCAGTTAAAACACTTTATAGAAAATCTTCTAAGTTTATTTAATCGATTGTTTCGCGATTCAATCGATTTAAATACTGTAAAACTTTCTTGTAAAACTTTTCAAGTTATTTTAATTGATAAAAATAGGTTTTAATCGATTAAAACTCTGTACATAATTTTTCCAAGTTGTTTTAATAGGTTAAAACGTGTTTTAATCGATTGAAAGAGTTCTGATCGGTCATAACTCAATTCTGATCGATCATAACTGATTCTGATCGGTCATAATTGCATTCTAATCGATCATCCTGAACCTTTAAGTGATTTTAATCGATTGAAACGTGTTTTAATCGATTGAAAAAATTCTGATCGCTCATAATTCAAATCTGATCGATCACATCTGATTCTGATCGGTCATATTTGTATTCTGATCGATCATAATGAGTTCTAAATGGTTTTAATTGATTAAAATCAAGTTGTATCGATTAAAATATTGTAAAAACACTTCTTTGAACATTCTAAATGATTTTAATCGGTTCTTTCAAAACTATATCAGTTAAAAACATGTTTGAGAAAGTTTTTGTCAAAATACTTTGTTTTTAATTGTTTAAAATGATTTTAGAGGCATTTTGCAAAATCATTTAAGTGAAGAGACCTCATGCAGCAAAAAAGATAAAATGATTTTACCTAAGCATTTTGTAGACACACTAATCTTTCTACTCTTTTATCAAAGTGACTTGTTGACCGCTGCAAAGTTGGCAAAAAGATAAAATGATTTTACCTAAGCATTTTGTAGACACACTAATCTTTCTACTCTTTTATCAAAGTGACTTGTTGACCGCTGCAAAGTTGACTTTTGACTTCATCTTTGACTTCATCAAATCAATGAGATCTTTGCCAAAGTATTTCAATAAGATCTTTATCACTTTCAGTCTCCCCCTATTTGATGAAGACAAACACCATTTTAAAAAAAAGCTCTGCAAAGAGAAGTCACTTGATAATACAGATTAGTGAAAAAATCAAAAATAAATTGTTTTCCTATTTCTCCCCCTAAAATGTTGCTCCCCCTAAATTAAGAGTTTATTTCTTCTAAATTGATCTAAAGTAAAAACAACTATTTCTCCTCCTTTTGACTTCATTAAAAATTAGGGAACAGAAGAGAGATAATGAAATGCAAAGGTTTTCAACAGTTTGAGTTTTTGAAAATAAAAGGAAATTAATACTTTACTCATGGAAAGATCAATCAAAGTTGATTCAAACTTATCTTCATTAACACGTGTGTAATGAATACAATTAACACGTGTAAAGATAAGAGAATCACGCTTTAGTAGCATGTTACATGAACAACCATTAACTAAAGTCTTTAATTTTTCTTTCCAGAATAAAAATCAATTAAAAACAGGACAGAATCGATTAAAGTGTTCTTGTTAATGATTTTAATCGATTGAAATAAAGTTTTAATCGATTAAAACATTTAAGGATTTCGAAAATATGAAACATTTGTGCATTTAATCGATTAATACGACATTTAATTGATTAAAACAGTAAAGAAAAATGTTGTATAAATTCTTTTAATCGATTTAAAAGATTTTTTATTGATTAAAACACCCAGTTTTGAAAACTATGAAATGTTTGATGCGAATTTCTCATGTCTAATTTAGTGAATATTTTTGAAAAACTGATTATCTATAAGGATGTTTACCAATACTATCAACTACATCGATTAAATTTAACTAATAGATCCATCAAAATCAGAATAAAATCTTGTTTAGCTAATTTAAAAGATTTTAATCGATTGATACGAAGTTTTAATCGATTATGTTGCTGTGAAAAGTGTTTTCTTTAATCAATTTAATCGATTAATTCGATCTTATATCAGCTAAAACTCTCAGGGATCTATATCGAATTCTATCTATGCTAGTTTGATTCGAATTAAACCTACCTTATATTAATTCAAAGCTAAAGATAATGTGTTTGGTATATAACCAGTAATATTACAGACCTAGAAAAATAAGCATAAAAAAGAAATATGCAGTAAAAAAAATGAGGAGGGAAACTAATCATCCCAGTTCCCTTGATTCAGCCGCATGTCCTCTAGCTTTGTGTAGATGTCAGCTATTTGGTTGCCAAGGGATTCGAATTGATGGTTGGTTTGCTGGAAGTGTTGGAATGTCATATGCATATGCTTCCTCTGGTTTTCCTGTACTGCAGCCATTTGGGAAAGCATAGTTCTCTCAAACTGAGAAAGGGGAGTCCCACGGTCAGGCTGCTCCATGAAAGGAATTATTTCCATGTTTTCATAGGAGGCTTGACCACTTGATGACCCAGAGACCTCTGCAGCTGCTGGAGATGAAGGGATTTGGCCCTGTTCTTCATCCTCAGCCTCTGACATTCCAGCATCCACCTTTGAAATTCATTCATCATCAATCTTAATAAAACCCATTTTTTGTAAGGTTGAGTCATCAATCTCATTTGATGCTTTCGGAGTTTTTACATATTCCCCTTCTAAATCCACTGCAAACTGTCTAAAAAATTTACTGATCAACAAAACATAGGGTAATTTGTAATCAGTAAGCCTCTTGGCTTTTACCATGTGGTCTTTAATAACATAGACCCAATTAACCCGAATCCTATTTTCAATGCAGTACATGAGAGCCAAATCACCCTCATTGAGTATAGCATGGTTACTCCCCCTTGGAGTAAGTATCCATGTAATAATGAAGACAAGAATTCTTGATTCAAGCCTCATCTTCCCAGCATTGAAAATTCTAGTGGAATCATTTTGGTCTTTGAGACATGTGCGAAAAAATTGAGTTTTGTTAAACTCTGGTACCTCAACAATATTACCTCTCGAGATTTTTACCCCAACATCTTTGAGGCCAGCAACTTCATCTCAAATGTCAGGAGTAATGACCAAATTGACTCCTTTTACCTGAGACCTTAAGGTGGAACCACTGACAGTGAGATTAGCATAGAAAACTCTTACCAGGTCTGGTTGAATATTGCCAGTAAACTCCAGAAAATTCTTCAATTTTTTA